GCTCGGCCGCCTCGGGGCGGGGGGGGGCTCACACGCGTTTCTGGCCGCGCTCGGTGTGCCCGTGTGCGCCAGTGGCCGCGCACGGTTCCTTTAAAGCGTTAGCGGCAACGGCGTAAGGAGAGAATAATCACTGCTGCTGGATAAGCAGCCGCACGGCGAAGGGATAAAAACACATCTGAGGTGTTTGGGTGACATTTAAAATTTGCAAGATAAGAGCCTCAATTATTTATTCGCTGAATCCCCAGGTAGAATGGCCTGCGCTGGTACCGCCGCTGCATATGTATGTGCACCTACATAAAGAGATTTTTCTTTTTGTTCTGTAAACTGATCCAGTCATTGATGTTGACAGTATGTTATAGTTATGTGAAAACAGTGTAATTGTGTGATGGCTCATCAGTGCTACGACTGCCAATTGTGGTGGCAGTGGGTGTTCTCACAATTCAAGGCTCATGAAAGTAACAGCACAGATCCACTGAGATGATCATTACACAGTAGGTAATTATTCGCCTCTTCTTCGTGATTTCTCAGTTCTTCCTTAACACTAATTAAGTAACTATATCACTACATCCTTTAAAAGAGTAATGCATTTTTGCATTATGGCTTGTATGAAACTCAATACATAATTTATATGTATAGTATTTTTAAGCTGATTTCCCTTTTTAAAACTTTCACTGGAAAGTTGCAGACTGGTAATGGTTGCAGAATAATTGCAGTGTGGCTATGTATTCTGTTCAAAACTCCAGCTCCAGGACAAGCCTCAAACTAAGCACAGTCTGGAAGCTGCTAAGCAAACTGCCCCCTGTGCTGCTGCATCTCATTTGCCCCTCTTCTTTCATGCCCACCTCTCAAGACATGCACACACACACACACCAGTCAACAGAAAGACTCTAGCTAATTTGTTGTTATAGCATCTTTTTATGGTATTGTCTTCACTTCCACATGAATAGTAAATTTAACTGTCAAGCTGCTCTTTTTCCCTAATAGGATATCTTTCAATTTAGCAAATTAAATTTTAAATAATGATATACACCAGCCTGGGTGCTCAGAGCAGAACACAGTGCACGTCTGTAATTCTGTGATGGCATGGTACTGGCCCACCACAGAATTTCTTAAATTTACTATAGAGTGGGTGACTTGGTTATCTAAGCCTCAGGGATAAAATACCAACACCAAATGCTGCAACTACAGATATAATTTACCAAAGAGTCAGCTCAACCTTTCTTCCTCCTGAGACTTGCAAATTAGATACTGAGCAGTGAACAGTAAGTAGCACGAGACCTCATAAACTTAAGTTTTTTTCCGCTCTCAGTCAACATCTAAAGACCTCCAGGATAGTACTATTCTTTTAAAGAAATGATTGTTTGCCCTAAAATCTTATAGCATTTTTCTACTACTACTGTTTCGCTGTTTTAGCCCCCAAAGCTGGCACTACTTTTTGCTGGTCATGTGCATGCATGTATTGCCCGGAGAGCAATGATTAGAGGTACCTACAAATTAAAGTCCTGTAATATTTGCTTGACCAGGCAGCTGCTGCTGCTTTAATTCTGCTACACAGCACGACCTCTCAAAAATTTCCGGCAGCAACGGGGTACGACTCAAATCCTTTTAGTAAAGGGCTTGTGACGCAAAGTAGCACGGTTCAGATTCTTTGCAAAAGATAGAAACGACGTGGGGAAAGCCAGGGTATTGCATGTAATGCCATCTAGGCCAAACAATTGGTTTTCCACCTCCAAACCGCCCGGCGGGCTCGGCAGCCGCAGGGGGACATGCCC